GTGTGTCTGAAGGAATGAAGCGTGGTCGCTCTGCTTTGGTTCAGCTGAGCAGGGTTTAGTTTTCCAAGCAAGACTGTGAGCTGGTCCTATTTTGCTGATCGGGGTAGATGCAACTGTGACCGCTCCAGGCCAGTCTGGGGAGACATGAGCCAGCCCCATGAGGCATTTGGGTGAAAACTAACTCTGGAAGTGAATCCCTGATTCTTCAAGCCAGCTCTGAGAAGGGAACAGTTGGATGGGGTCCCAGTATCTGTGTCTGCTGAGTAAATACCTGCTGCGGTACGAATGAGCTGGAGCTGTGCCAGGGCTCAGAGGTCAGTTCCTAGGTTAAGTGAAGTGGACGTAAAGGTGGCACTTGAGGATTGAGCTGGTCGAGTAACGTCGGTGGAATAGAGATGGTCCCTTTCCTCAGGCATTTGTAGCAGCCACAGGAACATCTAGGCTGTTTGTCTGACCCAACGTCAAGGTCAGCCGGCTTTATGCACATAAATAGTCCACCTGAAATCCCGAGAGCGGCACCTCTCCCACCAGACAGAGCAGATACTTGGATTTTCAGATTCCTTCTATGTCAGAAACATTTAACACTGTCAGTTTTCAAAGTACTGTTCTTTGATACCTCTAATTTAAAAACAAGGTCAGTATTTTGATATCTACTGTTGGACGTGCAATTTTTGTGATGTCTTGGTAACTCTTTTAAGTGAAATGCTGCTTTTTCTCCTGTGTTGTGTGCTAAAGGGTCAGCTGGCTTCATCTCAGCTCTAGGTCTTAAGGTATCCAGCGCTTTGTTTTTTAAAAAAAGTAACAGAACCATAGTGCCAATCCTAGATTCTGTGAAGCAAAGCCATTCTCCAGCATTTTAGGTTTCATTTAGATAAAACAAGCAAACACAAGCCTGATCTTTCTATTAGGAAACATAAAGCTCAAAAATACGTACTGTGACCCGAGGCTGGGTGCTGAAGGCAGGACTCTGAGGTATCAATTGCTTCTTTCCTTAGTTAAAGAATATTTTTCTGGTGCCAGTTTGGAATTCAATCATGTCCTCTGAATGGCCAGTTTCTCATTTCTTCTTGTAGTTATGGACTGGATGAAAACTGAAAAGTCTCTGTGAAAGGAGTGTCAAAATGAAGGAAAACAGAAACCCTGTTCTCCCTAATTTTTGTGGTAACTCGAACTCCAGTTCACATCAGTATTGTTTCAGTGAGAAAATGCCTTTTTTTTTTTTTTACTTGCTAGCCTTTTTTTCTTTGTACAGAACAAAATTGAGTTCATTCTTTATCACTAAACAGTCAAAATTTACTTAGTGGTTTTGGTGCAGGACAGCCAGAGCAGATTTCATTCACCTGTCAGACAGCAGAGCAGCTGTGCTGTGGGCTTCTCGCACTGGTTCATGAGAGAGCACTGGATCTGCTCAATAAGATGGTGCGCTCCTACACCATCAGTCTTCCGAGCTGGAACTACATTATCTGCACCTTTGGGTGTCTTCATCTTTTTCCAGACTATCTGTAAGCTCCTGGAGTGTTTGCTGTTCCTACAGGGTGAGGCAAATGTGCTTTGAAGAAAAATCTGTTCTTTTTTTCCCCTTTTTTTCCCTGTCAAGTGACACACGTTGGTGTTCACGCACGGTGGAAACAGCGTGAGCTCGGAAGAGATCCCGCATGCTTTCCTGAGTTGTGTTTGATCTGTCATTTCTGCAAGCAAACCGACAGAATCACGCAACGAGGACGCTCCCGCTCAGCATCTGCTGTCAGATGCCACAGGGAGAGCGGCCGGCCGATCCCCGAGCGGTGGCACCAACTGCCGCCTGTGAGCAAGCGTTGCTGGCAGGCCGGCCAGCTGAATGGAAATGCCTGGGGAAGGGTGCATAACGTGGTGTGTAAATGGGGAGCAGAGTGGCAGCCGTTTCCAGGTGAAAGCAAAGGTTCATCTGCTCTGGGATCGTGTTTCTGACCAGCAAACTAGTTGGCATCAGGACAGAATAAAGACTAGGGAGTGCGTAGGGGTGATTTCCCTGCTTTCTGCAAATTAGGATTTCAGGCACAAAGTGACAGTTCTGTATTAACAGGCCCCTTTTCTTTTTTACACAGATTACCCGGTCACTTTTTGAACTTGTATAATACTTCAGCATCCAAAATATCCTTCCAGAGAGAAGTGATGTAGTTTGCACTCTATTAGTTAAGCATAGCACCTCCTCTGAGGGTACCTCTGAGTTTCGTTTGGTGCCCTCTAGGCCTTGTGTCAGAAGAGGCAGTGAAAAACTGATTGTTGCTGTCTGTGTCATTTGTATTGGACTACCGTCATATCTCCCATCAGTTCTGTCTTTTCCAGGCTGAAGAGTCCTGGTCTGTTTCTTGTATGGAAGTGGTTCCAGACCTTGTAACCCATTTCCGAACCTTTGCCAGTTCTCCATTTCAGAAAAGGATGTGTAGGGAGTTCAGAACTGCACAGAGCATTCAGGATGTAGGCACGTCGTGAGTCCATGCAGTATCCTAATGGTATTGTTTGTTTTGTTCTGTCCCCCTTTCCTAATAATTTCTAAGTTTCAGCTTGCTTCTGACCACTGCTGAGTAGAACTGTATGCTTTAACCCCCAAGTCTCACTTTGGGTGATAGTATAGAGCCCGAAACCCCAAATTTGTGTATGAAGCAAGAGAAGCATCAGCACAGGAGAGATCAAAAGCAAAGAGGCGATAGCTGCAGCTTCACTAGAAATGGCTCATCCTGCTGCTTCTGTTGTAAAACTCTGCTGGAAAGCTTGGCTGGGCCATTATTTGTTCTTTTGTTGGCAGGTTTTTTCTAAACAGTCTGCTTTCCGCTGCATTTGACAGAGTTTCCCTTTTTCATCCGGCTCAAACATGTAGGACACAATTGCTTCTCGTATCTTTGTGTTGGTGTTTGTTCTAGAACAGCTTTTAGTAAGTTCTTTTTCTCTGACTTACCTGGCTGTCTTACTTCGCTAGGCAAAACGGTGACATCAAATTTTTGACAAAGGGAGACAATAACGCCATTGACGACAGAGGGCTGTACAAACGAGGGCAGCACTGGTTGGAGAAAAAGGACGTAGTAGGACGAGCAAGAGGGTAAGTGAAGTTGGATAAGATGCAGTTTTCACACTGCCCTCCCCCAGTGCCATCTGTTAATCCTCCTCTCCTCTTGAACTCTCCCTGCTGTGTTTTTGTGACCCGCCTGAAAGCGTTTCAGAAGCTGCTGTGGAGGGTTAAAAACCAAAAGCAGTTCAGTTCTTAGCTTGGCTTAAGCAAAGACATGAAGCTGTGAGCTGCATCCAGAGGTTGTGATGCTGGATGGACCCTGATGCAAAGGCAGTGCACACTAGGGCATGACCAGAATTTTCACTGAAATTATTCCACAAGGCACAGTCTTCGCCGGCAGGCGAGAGCTGAACAAGGCAGAGGCTGAAACACGCCCTGGGGCTGATTGTCGATCAGCCCCCGCTGCCACGTCTTCCCTACTTGGGAGGAAGAAGTCCCAAGCCTGTGGACCGTAGCCCTCCGCGTGCTTGAGTGGGTCTTCCTTGGTACAAGCAGCAGGGCAGTGCTTCTCCCGTGGGCACCCTTGAATACTGTTTGATTTAATAAAACCTTTTATTCTTGTAGATTTGTGCCCTATATTGGAATAGTGACTATCTTAATGAACGACTACCCAAAATTTAAGGTAAGTGCCGCTTCATTTTCTGCCTGCTTCTCCCACCCCAGCTAAAATTACTTCATGAGAACTGTATATGCACAGGCAGAACCATTTCCCCTGTGCGTTTTCTGCTAACTGCATCTTCAGATGTGAACGTGCACTCTTGTTTCTCTTCTTTCTCTTACAGTATGCAGTCCTCTTTTTACTGGGTTTATTTGTGCTGATCCATCGAGAGTAGCCTCTTGCCCTGCAGCGCGAGGTGAAGGTGCCATGGATTTTTGTAGGTGAACGTTTTAAGTAGATGATGGTCCGATGTACCGGGAAGAAGAAGAAAACATGCATTTCAAAGCTTCTTGCCAGTTTGGGTTTGTTTTGTTTTTTACTGCCTAAGGGCAAACGTTTGTCACAGTATTTCCAATAGTTTGTCACACTTTAGCATTTTTAGTGAGTTTTTATATTAAAAATTTAAGGCAAACTGTTCGGTGTTTGTACTTTGAAGCTGCGCTTCCTCTCAGAGTGCCTACAGGATTGGGTCCTCTAAGTCTGTGTCTCTGCTGGGCAAGCGTGACCTCTCCCTGTGCTGCCCCAGCTGTCAGACGGTGAGGTGTGGAGGTGATGTTTTTTCCAGTTCAGAACTGGAATAAAGATTTTGCACCTCACCCTGTACGAGCCCAGCCACGATCTTCCTTGTTGCCCCGAGCGCAGTTTCCCTTGGGGGCTACCTGGGCGTTGCTGTTGCAGACTGACTCCCAGACCCTGGCAAACTAACTTGCCCTCTTTTTGTGCGACGGCAGCAGCTGCTCCTCTCGTTTCTTTTTCAGAGGGTAAGCAGTCCTCAGCTGTAGATGCGTTCAATATTTCTATGTTTCTGTAAATCGCACCGAAATAACCTGCTTAAAGGCTGCATGGTGTTCTGGGCAGAAGAGGGCAAAGGATTACTTCGTGCATAAGCTGTCACTGCAGCAACAGGTAACAGAAGAATGGAGATGGGAACTGCCATACCTGCTTGGCAGGGATGATTTAGCAGGATGCAATAGTAAAATTTTCCTGCTTTTGGAAGGGGTTGTAGGTCTCTAATGATCCCTGCAGCTGGCCACGTCTTCCAGCTCACCTGAAAGCTATAGGAAGGCTGATCTCCCACTGCCCCGAGGTCTGGAAGAAGAAAACACTTTTCACCAGTGCAACAGCCTTTTTTCTAGGCTTCTCGCTGAGGATAGCGATCCTGCTTGCAGTGTCAGAGGAGAGCCCGAGGAAGAGGTACAAAGCAGAGACTCTGCCGTTACCAGCTTTGCTATAACTTCGTGCCACCTGCACCGAGTGATTTTTGTAACTCGCCTCCAGGGTGAGTTATGAAAACATTTACTGACTCATGAAGACGTTTTACTTCCCCTTCGCTAGGGCAGATCTTCACGCGAGCAGGGAGCGCGGTGCCGTTGCCACCTCCGTCCCAGGCTGCCTGACCCCTCTCCTGCAGCTTACTTACGGGTTGTCTTGTGAGGACAGCCTTCCCCTGGCAGTGGGAGCCTGTCTCCTCCCTCTCTCCTGCTTTCCCTGGGTTCACAGCTCAATCTTCAAACATCTACAGACAGTTCAGAGCTGCTGGGTTACTTCAGGTGCATTTCACCACATCCTCTATTCCCTCTTCTTCATGACTGCTCCAAGATTCCACAGCAGCAGGGATCATTAAAGATGATGACTGCTGGCCACGCACACAGCTTGTGTAGGGTAAAAGCAGTCAGGAAAGGCCAAAAAAACCCAACAGCGTGTTTATGGTCTGTTTTCAGTTTCTTGCATATGTACCTCACTAGGCTCGTCCCATCCATGGAGGTGAACTGTGCCGTTAGTTACGTCCACGGGGCCGTTTTGCTTAATACTCAGTGGCTGGGCTGCCTTGGTACAGACACCTGTGGCATCCCAAGTTGGTTTAACAGGATGGTTTGTTCCCTGGGTAGGATGAAGCAAAAACCATCTTGTGTTTAGGACACTGCAGAGAGTCTGTGAACAGGTCCAGCCCCTAGCACTGAGCCTTGGGCCTGTGGCTCTGTGTAATTGTAACTTGGTAGTAAAATCTCTGTCTCACCCAGTGCTGGAGCCCTTGAGAAGAGAATTTGGATACAGGGTTTCTCCAAAATGCCTGAGTCACAGATGGGATGTTCTGTCAAAAGTCAAACCTGGGTAGCAATGAGGGGACACAAAACCTCTCTCTGAGGGCTCGGAGCAGCGTTTCTGCCTGTGCAGGTTGCACTGAGGCTGTCTCTGTTCCCTGCTTTGCCGTTATCTTACACTGGTTTTGTGTATAAATTGGTTTGTAACTGGGGCTCACGTAAAGGACTGAGTTGAGCTCTTCGGAAATCTGCTCATCAACACCTCCCAGTGAAAACTCGCCAAAAGTGCTGCTGTTGCTGTTCTCCAAGTCCTCTCGCTTTCACACCTTTTGCAAAAATCTGAACACACAGAAGCAGTTATGTTGCTGTCACTGAGTTAATTTAACCAAAAAGGCTAAAATACAAAGGGTTTATGATTATAGAGAAAAGATTCGCTCTTAAAGAGCATCTGCTAAAATCCCAGTTCTGAGAGGAAAGAAATGGTCATTTGGAGACGTTGGGGAGCAATACTGTACCCGTCCTGCTTGTGGCAGGGGTGCGCCGCGTGACTGGCAGCAGGTCAGGGTGGCTGAGGACGCGCACGCTCGTTGCCAGTGTGGGTGCAGACCCAGGCTCAGGCGCTTGCAGGAAGGTGTGCCTTCCCCCGCCTGGCTCCCGAGCGATGCTGTCTGAAGTCATTGAGCAGGAAGCACCTAAAAATCGTGGGGTGGTTGGGGTGAAGGGTGGGATGAAGCCCGCTGCGGCTCAGCTTCGGTGGGGTGCTCCCTTCTGGGTTTGCAGGCACTTAAGAGCAGAAGCAATTGCCCTAAATCAGGGGCTGCAGTGTGAGATGAGGGAATTCATCTCTGTGACCTGTTTTGCATATTTGCAGCTCAGCGTAGCTGAGAACGTGGTTCTGTTACCTGCAGTCATGAAATGAGGTGTTGCCTCTAATTAGAGTGAGGATAAGTAAGCAGTTAATCCACTCACAGCTTGCACACCCACCAGCTCCCTCACCGCCTCCCACATCACTTCCCGCATCCCTGTAACGCCTTCCCTGCCACAGTGGGAAGAGAGGGTGCTGGGGACGAGCCACACAAGCTGGAAACTGAGAGCGTGGGGGCAGGATGACAAAGAGCTGTGGCTGGCTCTGTCCCCACCAGACTTCCTCTGCTTTGCTGAGCAGAAAAGCTACAGAGCGTGCAGGATCTCTGGTTCAGAATGCCGAAAGGTTTGGCGAGTACTGCTGTGCTCCCGCAGAGCCGGGGGTTTTGCTGTTAGAACTTGATGTGTCTTGGGGTTTTATTTCAGTTTTATTCTGGTTTTTTTTGTTTGTGGGTTTGTTTTGTGGTTTTTTTTTTGTTAAAGGTGAAGCTGTCTGGCCAGCTCCAGCAAAGCCTTTGAGACTTAAGGCTTAGGAAAGATGGAGATCTTTGTGTCACAACAGGGATGGGATTTGTTTGTCGAGTATGTGGGTGTTGAAGGATCTGGTTTATACAGAAAAAAGAAAGAAAAAAAAGGAAAAATCTGCCAGGGCTACGACTGCTTCTGTCTCTGTTGTGGTTACAGCTGAACCGAGCAGGTTTTCTGGTAGGCAATTTCATTGCTTAATTACTGTTCAATCACATCCGCAGTTCACGGCACAGATTCCTCCACGGGCAGGAACTGTTTCACAGAGCAAAGCAACACTGGGGCTGTTCCTGGTCATTGCTAGAATTTTGTTGAATGACTCTTTTTCCTGTCGAAGCTAAACGCATAAGCAAAAGCATGACGGGAGGGAGGTGAGCTGTGAGGAGTAACGTGCTGAACGCTGAAGCTCCTTGAGACAAAGGCTGTCTTTGTGTGTTCAGGATGCTTGACCGCATGGTAGTCAGTTAAACAGTAGTAAGCATTACCCTGTTTCATCCAGATCCGTTGCTGCTTATTGCTTAGCAGGGATTTCCAGAGCTTGGATTTGTAAGATGATCGGTTACATGCTTCCTTTAATGAGACAGGGTAATCTCGTGGTGGTTTTCCTGCCCTTAAAATAAGGTCAACCTTATTTTTTCCGAGGAGAATCTACAAGGTGAAGTCCTGTCCATGTGTGTGGTTAGAAGACCGCTTCCTGCTGGAGAAATGCATGGATGCAGACCCCTCCCACAGCTCCCAGGACAGGCTAGGAGCGGGAGAGAAGTGGCTCACGCTTGGAGATGGCTGCTGTGCAGGGGGAGAGCAGAGCAGATGTTCACATACCCCAGGCTGAAGATGCACACGGTGCAAGTGACTCAATGGCTGAATCAGATGAGGAGTGTCCTGGTTCCCGTCCTCAGAGGGGAAGGTGCGCCTGGGTGATGCCAGAAAGGCACAGCCTTCGCAGTTCCCGTCAGCGGTTCTGCTGGTAGTTGGTGCGTTGCAGATGACTGATCTGACCGTCTCATCGCCGGCTGCTGGGAGAAGACAAATAGCCCCTACACTGCATTTGGAGCCAATTGAAGAGCTTCCTGCCCCTTCTACCTTCTCCCTTCCCCTGCAATACTTCCGTCTGTTTGTCATCCGCACCTGGGTGCTTCAGCTTGCTCACCCGTCAGGAATCACAGAATCATGGAATGGGTTGGGTTGGGCTGGGCTGGAAGGGACCTTAAAGACCATCTAGTTCCAACCCCCCTGCCATGGGCAGGGACACCTTCCACTAGACCAGGTTGCTCCAAGCCTCATCCAGCCTGGCCTTGGACACTTCCAGGGATGGGGCATCCACAGCTTCTCTGGGCAGCCTGTGCCAGTGCTTCAGGAAGCCACAGGCCTGCAGAGAGAGCTCTGCCAACATGGGGCATGTTGGATTCAGAAGGGGCACAGCGTCTCTCCTGGCAAATCTGCTGTGTTGGATCTGCTTAGGCATAATTGGGTGCCTTCGCTGCTGGTTGGTAGTCTGCCTGGCGTGAGGAGCCCCCCGTCACGGTAGCAGCTTTTCTCCCGCTGTGTGCTCATCCCTGCTTACCCCTCCGTTTCCGTGCAAACCACCAGCTCCTCCACACATCGTCCTGCTTCCCGGTGGAGCTGGGCCTGCCTACCTGCTGGGTCCTGCTGGTTGAACACATCCTGTGTTAGACCTGTTCCTGCTCACAGGGCACTTCATATACATGTTCCAACATCCATCCTGGATCTTCCAGGGACCATCTGAATGCATGATCTAGTTGACTTCCCTAAACCTTGGGGGAAATCGAGTATCTCCACAGAGAAGAACGGTCTAAGTAGGGATGGACTAGAAGTGATCCAGGATGGAGCAGACAGGCTCTCTGTCTCCTGCTCCCTCTGCCCAGCTCCTCATGTCTTGACTTTTTTTGCTCCTTCTGTATAATATTAAAAAACACTTCCCGGAGCTCTCCCTGTCAAGCATCTTGATATCTCCTTTCTCTTTCAATCTCTCCTTCCCCTGTAGAAATTAACCTTGCAAGGGTTTCAGCTTGCAGAGAGACAGACGTAAAAATAAAGTGGAGAAAATGGACTTCAATTTAATTTCTCTGAACCTCAATTCACTCAAACTGGGATGTCAGACTTCTGCCATGTAATTCTGGTTGGGACACTTCTGAACTAGGCCTGA